TCCTTCAAAGCTTGATTCTAAACAGTTGTTGGACTACAGAAGGGATGAACTACGATGTCTAACAGGCCTTCTTACAGGTCACTGTCATTTGAATCACATGCAGAGACTTGGACTGTCGGAAGACAGTGTGTGTCACCTCTGTCTGGAATATGATCAAACTGCATAGCATATACTTTGTGCCTGCCGAGCTGGGAACTGAATCAGGTTCTTTGAGTTCGGCAGATCCATACTCTCACCATCTGACCTGAAAGACCACTTACCATACAAACTAATCGGCTTCGTTAAGAAGCTGGGTTTATTTGACCGAGTGTGAATAGGTGTAAGCCACAATAAACCCTCATGGGTTGCGGCGGAGGCTCGAATAGACCCACTCACTTTAGACCTACCTACCCCCCTATTTTTTTCAATGGCATGTGGAGTCGAGTGATACATCATCTGAAAGGTCTTTTGTTTATATTGTTTACAAATTTGGATTCGGTATTCATATCGAATAATGTGTAAACACTTTTCAATTAGGTGAGTCTGAACCACAACTCTAATGTCTAAATTGCGATTCTTTAAAAAACGAGTAGATTTCAGAAAAAATTGAGGTTTTGAAAGGTGATTCAAATTCATTCCTTTGGAATGTTGCAAATCCAAAAAAGTCCATAAACAAACTATTTACTTCCGCCCGCAAACAACAATTCAATGTAATTAATTTTTGGAGGTAGGTTGCATACCTGAAATGATTCGAACCACCCGTTGTCCTTTATGTGAAAGTTGCTAATTTTAGAAAACCTGATTTTGAACCAATTTTCCCAACAACATTCTTTGTGGTTTCACTTGAACGAATATGAATTCGATTGTTCACTCTGATTTCCACAATTTTTCGTCAAAATAAAAAAGAACCCGATAACGAAGTTTTTCAGTAATGTTGTTTGTTATTTTTATATAACTTACTTCAATTCGGAATCAGGAACCGTAAAATTATGTGTTTCCGTTAACCAGCTGTCGCACCCCTAAAAACGACAACCCTGAGAAGTCGACACTTGTGCGAGCTAAGGATCAACGAGGTCTTATTTTTTGTAGACATATGTAGATTGCCAACCATAGTTTCGTCAGGAGGTAAGTACTTGAGTCCAAAGTGTTCGGGCACTGCCAAAAACGATCTGTAATTGTGATTCCGAATCTGCCAAAAATCTATACTTGAAACATTCGATGTTCTGCGATACAGTTGTTACTTTGCGTATGATATAATATATAAATGTCCTCGAATAATAATAATAACGTTTATTCACATTTGTTTTTTTCTCACATGGTCTTTTACCTTAATCTAATTCAATTAGTAAATAAACAAAGAGAAATCCATTGAAGACCTTAAAATCCCTTAAAACAGGGTGATACCTACCTGCTCTTTATGAAACGACATAATTTTGCAATGCGGACTAGGGAAGTTGACAGAATTTATTGACGGATCACCCTGTAGCGCTTTTGAATACTTAATGAGATTTTATTACTCTACACTCTTTTGAAATAGACTATAACATCAAAAGTGGATATATTCCTAGATGTATCCATGATTGATTACTTCAATGTCATGTTGATATTTTGTCAATGAATCGATTACTGACAACATTCTTTTATATATTCAACATCGACCAAATTCTCATGTAGTTTCACGGGTGCAAACATGTTTTTTTCTGATATGATGTCATTTTTTTCATGTAAACATACGTTTTAATATACGACTGCAAATTATCAACATAAACAGAAATGAGGACTAGAATTTGTTATTTATAAAAAAGTGATGTAAGAATGAGCTGGTTCAGCTTTATACCGGCAAAATATCAATTATGGTAATATACGTAACATTCACCCATTTAAATATCTGAGTAATAAATTCCTATCCGATAGTAATGCAGTGGAAATGTCTTGTTGATATGAGAATAAAGTTCAAGGTACTCCAAGAAATAAACACTGCTAAAATATTCCTGAATCGTCATCATTAAATAATAGTAATTTACGTGACAAGTCCGGAAAATACTGTTTTTTTTTTTTGGATGAGCAGACAGACTTGTAGTCTGGGGTCTCAAAAAACTATTTTTGGACGTGTCGCGTACATGACTTTTTATATTTCTATGTAGAACAGAATTTCGAATATTTCAATCCTTATTTGTATTGAATATTGAATACTATCGACCCGCTCCTACTCTGCACGGGTGTAATATTGATACTAACCATAAATTCACCCACCGGAGATCCAAAGACATAGAGAAACAGTGATGAAAAGATCAGTTTGTTTAGTTTGTTAGCGGTACAGAGAAACAGTGATGAAAAGGTAAGTTTCATATGTAACGCTACCCTTTTATCCCCAGGGGGCGGCGCACGTGTAGGAATACTTGAAAACCCTGTATAAATCCTGTATTACTGCACATCTACAACATAAAACTAACCTACATACAAAATTTCAAGTTTCGAAAATATAGCGGTACGGAGACAGTGATGAAGAAGTAACTTTATTTTATGAACGGGACTCTTCCCCGCGGCTGGCTCTCTAGTTGAAATATTCAAAATTCCTTTTTTGTTACAAATCTACAACATGTACTCAACCTACATACAAAGTTTTAGCCTTTCGGAGAAACACTGATGAATGACTGTTGAATAACTTTTGCATTTATAGTATAGATTCGAACAGAAGATAGGAAGTAACATACAGTTCGCGGAGTCAAATAACAAAAATTAATAGGTGCTACTCACAAGAGTTAGTGAATGATTTTGGAGTTCCACAAGGTAGCGTATTAGGGCCTTCACTATTTCTGATTTATATAAACGATATCAATTACGTAGATGGTGATCATTTGAATAACTTATTTGCAGATGATACATTAATATATACCTACGATAGAACCTTGCAAGTCGCTATTGAAAAGATGAATAACTCATTGAAAAATATTGAGTTGTACCTTGGAATGAATAAACTGAAACATAATCACTTAATCACTAAAACTAAAGCGATGATCATTACAACAAAGTATAAACAAAATAAAATTGGGAGAAACACAGTCAAAATTAAAATTAACGAAACTGATGTAGAAATAATGAGTAAAAGCAAGTATCTGGGGTTCATTGTAGATAATACAATTTCATTTAATGATCAAGCTGACTATATAATAAGCAAAATATCGAAGAAACTGTATTTTTTTAGAGTGGCATCTGTATTATCAATGTATGCCAAAATAATGTGCTATAATTGCATAATAAAACCTCATTACGATTTTTGCGGGACTCTTTTATATCTCTTGAATCAGAACAAATTAAATCAGTTACAAAAATTACAAAATCGTGGAATGCGAATAATATTACTCTGCAATAGAATGACACCTATACATAATATGATCTGTAGTTTAAGGTGGCTTAATCAACGACTGTATTATCAAATTTATATTTAAAATATTGGATAAATTGCAACCAACATACTTAGTAAACCTTTTAATCACAAATAGTGGAGTACATCATCATGATACTAGATCGAACACCAATTTTCACATCCCAAGGACAAATTCACGTAGCAGTATGAACTCGTTATTCTTCAAAGGTCTGGACAGTTTCAATAAACTGCCAAATAATATAAAAAACTCTTCTTCTCTCCGTCTATACAAGAGAGATTTGGTAACATTCATAACGAAAAACTGAATTAAAGCTAATTTATATTTAAAATATAATATTTCCCATGTATCCTTCAGTCACATTTGTAGACTTTCAGCCACCGTGTCTTTCCAAATTTGTGATGTTTCCACCATTATCAGCAAATAACGTCGCAGAAGTTCGACGAATGCCTGTGTAATTTTCAGGTGAATTGAAAAATTCTGCGATTTTCGATTCGAGGTTCCCAAAACTGTGGATACTAACATACTGAATCGAACATTTGGTGATTCACGAATAATGTGTTATATGAAGTGTAGGATGGTCGTGAAGATAAATATTGCCTATACAACAGCAGGTTTTCATGACTTATAACAGCAACAATAATTATAAGTTACCTCAATTTTTTTTTCAAAAAATACACCTCACGATTTGATCTCCACAAACTGTATTTGAAAACTATATCACAACATGTTTCGCTGGCACAGTAGCTTTTTTAAGTGATTTATACTTCAAGTTGTTCTTACATTAATATTTATATACTACAGGTAACCATAATTAAGACTACCTCCAAAAAATCACCTAAACCTCTACCTTAGGTACCTGTTCAATTATGATCACCTGAAACATATTACCCCACATCTACATCAATAATTCTTTTTTGGTTTTTGAGAAAACAAGTTCAATAATGGTGATCTATTCAAATCTAGTTGGTCATTCATTAGAATGTTTGAATTTTCAAGTTTATTGATTTCCATTGCTTCCAAATGATTCAGTTTTGAACCTTTATTTTCTATGTGCATAATTTCGAACTCTTCATTAGAGATATAATTTTCTTTTAGGAGATGATTTGAATATGTCGAATTTGTTTTCTTATTTCCATAGCTCATATGATGTTCCTGGATTCGATTCCTAAATGTCCTGCCAGTTTGACCAACATATACCTTAGGGCACCTACCACACTTTAATTTATATACTCCTGATTTCTCGAATTTGGATGTTTTGTCTTCATTACTTTTAACTAACTTTCCCAACGTTTTATTTGTTCTATATGCAATTTTAATATCTCGTTTCCTCAAAAAACTATGGATCTTCATCAAGTAATGGCTGAATGAATCAGAAAATTATCTCTATATGTGTTTTTGAATCTGATATTATTATTCAAACTTCCTTTAATAAAAACCAGTGGGAGTCCATTCCTCCATAATTATAAAATGGAAGATTCATAAATATATTCAGAATATTGATTGAAATGAAACATTTCATCAGTGAATAAATGTGAACCCAATTGTAGACATTGTAGACAGTATCACCAATGTTTGAATTTCAAAAATGCGAAATTTAAAATCTGACAAAAAAGGGAAAATAAAAAGTTTTTCTTATATTACATATATGTATTAAATAATCAATAAATAATCTCATCCACTGAAATACTAAAAAAAGCTCAAATACATTATATTATCATACAAGTTAATCAAGTTAATCAACATTCGAAATGCTACTGACGCATAGCTTAGTAACTTCCATGATCAATACTCTCGTTTAATAAATTTCTGAAATATGAAATCGAAATACTTTTGATTGTTTCATCGATGTTGAATATTCTTTCGATTTCATACTATCAAGAAATATCTTATACTGTTTATTTTCATGACCATCGAATATTTATTGCAGCAGAAGTGTTTTCTTCAATTTTCCACCATAGCGGACAAATCGAATTGGATTCTGTTCTTTTTTCTCTGAAGACATATACGCTGCTCTGAGAGAAGAATAAATAGTGAAAATGATAAAATAAATACAATTACTTCAACTCTGAATAGAGTATATTGTCTCTATATTATTTGCGTCGTTTTGGCAGCCTAAGAAAAAATAAATACTGTTTGGTGTTGGAACCATTCCGCTTCTCAGTTTTATCAAATTTTAATCAAATTCAACTTCGTCAAAAAAAAAGTTTTTTCTTGAAAAATAATTCATCGCTACTCACTTTCAAATGTCGTAATTTTGATCAACCATTGTTTCGTTTGCAGAAACGGTTCCATCATCGACATTCTTAAAACACTGATAAAATTATCACCTACAGTTCCATCTGAAGTTACATAAATATCTTACAAAACACCTGGGCTAGAGTTCCTATAAATAAAAATCACAAATCTTTGGTAAAAGGTAGAGGTTCACACAACATTTTCCTCTTGATTTTCAAACTATCGGAAAAACATATGTTTTCCTCAAGCAAATAATGTGAGTGGTTGAATTTCCTCTTCCTTTTAGGTACAACCGAATCGGCTACCAATAATATTTCGTTCCAGGCAAAATCCATATCTCTTTTCTCCGAATACCTACTGCAGACAGCAAACCTTATCACTCGCTTCTTATCGAAAGTTGCGGCAATTAAAAATAATTTGCCTCTCTCCACCAATTTATCCAATAATTTTTGAGTAGAGGAGTCATCTTGCAGTCGGAAACAAACCAATCCCAGAATAGATGTAACAACTTCAAATCTACTATCACTTCGCACTAACTTTTCAAAATATTTTGCTTGGGAGATATGTCCTCGTATGTACTTCTGAATTCCTTCAACTCCATAGATTCTCAATACAAACCACAGCTTCATAGCCCTCAGTCTCCTTCCCAAGGGGATTTGCCAGTGTCGGTATTCAGGAATGTCTGGTAGTTTATTGTGTTTGAGATAAATTCTGTCAACGTTGAACGAGTCTATCAAACACCTCGCGTCTTTGAGCCACATCGCTGAACAGTCGTAATTCACTAACATCCATTTGTGAGGATTGAAATTGAAGGAGTCCACAAATTCCACACCCTTCATGAGGTGTCGATATTCAGGGCAAGCGAAGGCAGCACCAGCATAAGCAGCATCTACATGCAACCACACTTTCTCTTCCTCGCAAATTGGCCCCAATTCACTCAGGTCGTCGAAAGAACATGTTGGCGTTGTTCCGAGACAGGCAACAACATAACACGGGATCAGTCCTTTCTCTTTGTCGGCTTTGATAGCTTCAAGAAGCGTTGATCCACGTAGCTTTCCGGTGGAATCCGATGGAAGAAGCCGCATTGGCATTGCTCCAAGGAGACCTGATCGTTCTATAGAAGAGTTAGATTGGTCAGATGAGTAAGCCACCAATTTACCCAATATGTCCTCCACTTTGAGGTCTGGATTTTCAGTTTGAAGTTCTTGAATTTTCCTCTCCCTGGATGTCAACAAGCATAGCAGAGTTGTTTCACTGGCTGATCCCTGTAACAAAAATATCTTTGAATATTCACTTTCGTTGAAACCTACCGTCAATTAATGGTTACCTCCCAGAAGTACCACACTTCATAAGTAGTTAGTTGTGAATGAACCCTGTTGATACTTTCGGTCACAGCAATGAAATATATTATAAAATAGTATACACGGGAAGAAGGAAAAATTCAAATTGTATCACGAAAGTGGAGTTTTATACAGGGTGTAACTGAATAAGAGTAAAACATTTGAGGAGGTGATTCCTCATCGAAAAAAAGATAGGATCTTTCATATAAAAAAATTTCATCGGGGCATCCCTTGTTAAGGTACAGCCCCTTAAAGGGGGTACATAAAATTTGTGTAACAATTTTTTTCACAAGCACTAAAAAAGTTACAATATTGAAATTAACCTGACGTTTTGTATTATGACGATGTATCTCTGTAGTTGTTCGTAAAATAATTTTTTGCTGCGAACTGGTTTATTTTGGGCAAAAAACCCAAGAGACATTTTTTATTTAAAATGAAACAGGCTGTCGGAAATGAATTTTTAAATGATAAACAAACAATAAGACAGAAAGTTACATCGGAAATAAATTTTAGGGGTTGCGTTTTCCACCCCTGGAAACCATGGGGTAAACCAAATAAATTACTGGCTAAGTGTCTTTTTGGTAGTAGTACACGTCAGGTCAATTTCAATATTGTAACTTTTTCAGTGCTTGTGAAAAAAATTGTTATACAAATTCTATGTACCCCCTTTAAGGGGGTACATAAAGTTTCTTTATATGAAAGATCCTACCATTTTTTCGATGAGGAATCACCTCCTAGAATGTTTCACACTTATTCAGTTACACCCTGTATATCCTTATTCAACCCAAACTACTGCCAAAGCCCCAGTTCATCCATTATGACTAGATGGAAGGTTCTACCGATCAAATAGACTGCACCCTCGTTAACCCAGCATTTTCATTCTACATTGCCTCGAAAATCACTGATGGGTTTCTTAGAGAAAATACATTATTGATAATAACGTAACTTCTCTGGTGTTCTAGGATCAGAATCAATTCTCTAGTATATTAGTTTAGGAAAGGTCAAAAGTGAGTGGATTTATTCAACCCTCCACTGTAACCCACGATGGTTTATTGTGGCTCAGACCTATTCACACTCGATGAACTAAACCTAAGTACTGAACGAAATCAATTAGTTTATTTGGTAAGAGATCTTTCAGGTCAGGTGGTAAGAGTGCAGCTCTGACAATCTCGCAAATCCTGCAGACAGTTCGAGTCTCTGCATATGACCTGTGAGAAGGCTTGTTAGACATCATAGTTCATCTCTACTATCCAAAAACTGTTTGGTTTCAAGCTTCGAAGACTGAATTAACGCCATGACGTGAGCCAATCCTGGAAGATTTTGCATTTTAGATGTCCTCTTGTAAGAGAAAGCTGAATCTATTGGTGTTATGCGACCTATGCTAAACGATGACTGATCCTTGGCCAAATGACGAGAATAGCGCCTCCAGGCTACCAGGCTAACTTTTTTCTTTGAAACGAATCTATTATGATATAAACAGAAAGACGAGTTTTCAGAAGTAAATCATCTCAATTGTATTGAGAGTGGTACAAGCTAACCTATAAGATAGCAACGGCTACCTATACGAGCAGTATGGGAAAGCCTTATACTGTTTTCATATAAAAAACTTTTAATTCACAAGACAAACAAGCATGTCTTCAGAACAGCTCCTGGAAGAAATTATTCATAGTGGAATTTAGAAGACTTTAAGGCAATCATCTGGAAATAATTCAATATACTTTGTATAAAGCATTTGACAGACCCAAGGAAGTCACCATTGGTTCACAGTATAGTCCGGAACCGATACCAATCAGGGATGAGAAAGAGCTGTGGAGAACCTGCCAGATAAACACCAAGAAAACATTTTTTTAGCCTAAGGAGCATTGACAATAATGTCAGTTTATTATAGTAAACAACTCAGATATTTCAAATGTGAGCACGATGCATCGAGACATAATTAACACCAGGGTAAGTATCACATTCAAAATAACTATGTTTGGAATTTTGATGTCTGATGAAAAATATGTTCAGATCATCAGCATATAAATGGCCTCATACCTTGACTTTTTCTTATCATAACATACGGATTAGTACGCAGATCTGGAAGTGACTTTTTTATGCGGAGGTGATGAATTCCTGTACAACTTTGCTGAAATTAGTTTCAATAAGAAAAACCGGCCATTCATTTTGTCATGTCGTATAAATTAGTGGGTTTATCGATCGTGAGATCAATACGTAGAATTAGGGTTCAAGGTCATTTATTCTTCGATTTAACATTCATCACCTCATACATCAATCAATTTAAACGGCTTACCAGATGAATTGTAATTTTTACATTGAAACCTAATTTCGTGGAAGCTGTACCTCCACAAGTGGTTCAGAATATGAATATGTTTTCTATTTTCCTGTCCGACTCTTTCTTCTGGAACAGATTCCAGTCATTATCAGTACCTAAATTTATTAAAGCTGTAGAAGAAGTCCACTTTTATTATTATTTCCACTCCTGCAAGATATTCGGGTATACTACAAAAATTATGCATTTTTGAGAGGGTTCAAATGACCCCCTGACAATTTAACATAAGTTTGCGATCTGGGATATCAGATTGAAACAGATATATTTACAGGAGGCAACAGAAAACATGAAAATGTTTTATGTGAGATACTGGATCAAAGGTGAAAATTTTTGTAAAAATCTCAAGAGTACTTTTGCCATCAACGCTGGTGTCTACAACTCACTTTTTATTGGAAAAAACCAAGAATCCAATATATTGCTTTGCTGGCGACAGCACATTTGTCTCGTCATTCCATTTGGATTCCATGACATGGCCTGCGGAAGCACATCTTCACCGGCAGCAGGAGGTTGCCTATTTAATGAGGATTTAGGAGTGATTTCGAATTGGAGTGAAACAAACCAGGTTCAATTCAATGCCACAGAAACCCAGGCATCGGTTGTTGAGAGTTAAATAAACACCAATGTATCTTGGCACGGTCATGTTGCTGGAATTGCAAATGCTGCTTCTCAAAAGCTTGGAACACTGTTCCGAACTAGAAAACTGTACGCACCTCAGCAACTTTTGATGCTTTATAAAGCTCAGATTGGGCCTCCTTTGGAGTATTGTTCTTATGTATAGAGCTCTGTCCCCAAACATACCTTGAAATTGCTGGATTCCATCCAGAAAAGAGCCATCCGCATGATTGGAGACGCAAACTTTACTTGCAACCTTGATAGTCTGGAATATCGAAAAAAGGTTGGAGATTTGTCTCTCTTTTATAGATATTTTCACGGAAAGTATTCAAGTGACTTGGCACACTTGATTCCACCAAGAGCGGTACACATCAAAATCACGAGATCACTGTTCTGTCCTTGAAAAATCGTGACAATGCACCAATGCCTTTTTCACAGACACGGAAGAAATAAACAAGTCAGGTTATACTCAAGCAGTAAAAAGTACTAACAAGTTACGTGTTACATTCAATTCCGATATGAATTCTAAGGTTTAGACTCACTTGAAGGACTCCCCCACCTGGTCCATTCGAAGAATTGAGAAATATTTCGGGTAAGTTCAACAGTTTAGCAAGCCAATCCATCATAACCATCTCCAGTTCGGTATAGGCTGGGCTAGCCATCTGAAACCGAAAATAAAGATTTGATTAATGAAATTTTGATATTTTGAAATGGATTGTTGAAAATATTTTCACGTGTTACTCTATACAATAGCATCTTCAGGCATCACATTACTGTACAATCGCTTTCTGTCCCTAAGTAAGTATACTATGGTAGGAAAATGTTGGAAGAGTGATTCAATTCATTTTTCATGCTATTAATCACATCAGTGGTACTCTATTTGTACCAGAACGAAATAACGATCACTATATGTATGTATTGGACCATGGATGCAACGTGTCTGGTCTCTGTTATCACCAAAAGGTTCTGGAAGACGAGTCGGCAGTTGAGAAAGTTCACTAATTTGATGGTATGAGTTTGATTCAACTGATGCTGTTCATATACGAACGATAATCAGCAATCAGGCCGAAAAATGAGCCTCGAAGTTGTCGACCTACAGTAGAACTGTAGAACTGGGCGTCAGCTACCATGCTGTTATTGATGGTTTAGAACGTATTGGAAAGGTTATAATTCTTATCAATGAACTTTGAATCACTCTCAAGTTAACTACTGATACCTTGAAGGTACCACTCCATGCTATTATGCAGTACCGTATTATGGAGTTAGACATCAGTATCATCTCAGTGTTTATTATTCAGATTGAAGGGGTATATTTTCAGGAGAGAACAATTTTTGAGAATTTTTGGCCTTCTACTATCTCGATACAAAAATGTGGGGATCTTCCAAAGGAAGGAGGGCATCGATTTCAACAGATATGTATGTCATACCAAGAAGTGCCTTTCAACTAAAACCTGGAAGGAAAAGCCCTCTCGAAACAGGTATTTTCATATAAATATTGAATTACACGGAAGAAAACAACAAACAATATGTTTGTCATCGCCCCATCTGCCTGTGAACGAGGTAACCAACGGAATATTCGAAATTTGCCCAATTCCTCGTATGAGAAAAGAAAACTTTCCATATATGGTCAGTGAGCATACTTGAAGACTGGCTGTAAATCAAATCATTTAAAGGAACAATTCCTTCAGGCCAGTCCATTAGATAAAAGGTGTCAGTCTATTAACCTACAGTGTAGGGAGTTGAGACTGGCCTGAATGAATTGTTCCTTTAGATGATTTGATTTATAGCCCGTCTTCAAGTATTTCCACTGACTATATGTGAAAATTCACATGGAACACTGTTATCTTCACTGCTAGACATCCGATGTTCAGCCGTAAAGCACTTGCCTCATCGGCTTTTCAAATGCAAATACGGAAAACACTCAATTAGTTCATGAAATTACGACTTTTAGTCACGGAATGAGTTGAATCCACCCATGTCATCGATGACAGTACATAAATAACATTCATTCGCTCATTCGACTAAATCCCAGCCATAGGAATTTTGTTGGAATTGGAAGGGTATATTTTTAGGAGAGATCAATTTTTGGGAAAGTTTTTGACCTTCTACCTCTCCATCTTGATTCAAAAAATGTATAGAGGTAATTTTTGATAATGATTCCTCCCTTTCTTTGAAAGACTGCCACATTTTTTGTATCAAGATGGAGAAGTAGAAGGCTAAAAACTTTTTTCCCACTGTTTATTATATTTCTAAGCTACTATTTCACTATTATATTATCTGATTATTTTGTATTCTTCTTAAATTAGAAACTCACCCAGTTTACACCGATTGACGTGAATCCTGCACTCATCATTTCACCAACTATGGCTGGAAACGAGTTGGCTGCGGCAAAATACCCATGGAAATTGGGATGATGCCAGTGAGTTATTCCTGGTTGAATTAGTTTGTCGACATCTCGAAGAACAGTTTGCCAGGTCTCTCCCGTTCTAGGTACTTCTTTGGGTAAGAGCTCCTCTAAGTATCCTGGTTGGACTGAGTGAAGAACTGGCCTGCAGAAAAATATCTACTTCAGATCTTCCACGTTCGAAAGAGATCAAAGTGAAATATATTTTTCAACCGGTGATGTGAAGAATATTTTTGCATGAAAGTATCAAGCAAAGCTCGTAAAGTTTAAATCAGTGTGGAGTCACTGAAAAATTGTTATGTCGCGAAGAAATTATAATAATTATAGTAATATTCTTTATTCAATAGACCACAAAATTACAAAGAGGATAAGATCTATCAAATGCCCTACAACATTTTCTATGCAAACTGAAAAGGCGGAGTTCATCTTGAGCACCTGGAGTGCATAAAGATGGTCTTCCACTCAACCTTTGGACAAGCAGACCACAAGATCGCAGACACAACTAATCAAAATTGAGATAAACTATAGATATATGTGCTGATTCAAATAACCGCTTACTGAATATTAGAGGATTTCGTATATTCAAACAAATGTTTTCGAAATGAGGAAAGTTTCATATTCTCAAAATCATTTGGAATAGTATTGCAAGTGGTCGATATATTATAGGAAAAACTTCTCTCAAACAATGATTATTTGTGGAATGGTGGTGTTATAGTACCTTTCGATCTAATATTATTATCTAATAATGTGTGCCTGATTAAAATTAGGTTAAAGAAGTATAGCTTTANTATCCTGTATCCATGCATCGATTTATTGAATATGTTAATGGCATTTTGATTTCATTCACTATCTGTTTTAGTATTTCAGCGAGACAACATTTTTGAAAAACGCTGTGAAAATTACATATTGATATTTCTCAATAGTTCAACACTCAATAACGGAATGAATTTGAAACTCAAATATTCACAAATCAAAATAATATACGTCGTTTTGTAGTAGTTGGTAGAATACTGGATATAAAACATGGGCTGAAAAGTCGTGGGCCTAAGAGTGAAAACACCTTTTTTTGTTCAAAATTGACTTCATACATCAACGTAATCTCTATCAATAATAACACAATCATTCCAGCACCGCTCTAATATTTCAATACCACTTTTGTTGATTTATCTCTTGCCTCAAAATAGGCCTCAGTTTCAACAGTAACCTCTTCATTTCTCACCGGTGAACATTTTTTTGAGGTCTGCGAACAGCCATTAGTCGCTAGGCACCAAATCTGGCGAATACGGTGGATGTAGGAGCAATTCGAAGTTCAATTCATTTAGTTTTCTCATTGTTTTGATTGACTTGTGGCACAGTGCATTGTATTGATGAATCTGATGTCTGATTTCCTCTGTTGTGTTTTTCTCGCACACAGATTCGTATAACATTTCAAAATTTTCGTCTTCATCATTTTCCAGGATATTGGTCAATAGGTTTTCAGGCAGAATCACTCAAAATAGCACAGTTTCTCTTTACATTTCTCAAAGTTCCTCAAAATCAATTGTTTATTCATTCTAATTCAAATCATGATAATCAATAACTTGAAAGTGAGAAATGCCTAACCATAAATAATGATGAATAGTTACACCTTGATATGATTCGAAAGTATTCCTAGTTACCATGAAGCCATTTTCGAACGTGAAGATAACGGTTTTGGAATGTCTTATCTCATTGGAATTATTGATAAAATCAATGAAATATGTAATTTTTTCAATATACGATTCGCAAATTCTCTGAGAAACTTAAGGGCAGAACACAAGCGCTACAGAAAAGTCCTTAAGGCTGTTTAATCTGTTTAAGAGTTCTTGAACAGTGAAGTTCAAAGTGTACCTACTGAGTTGAACCTCAAAACGATGAGCAGCAATAGTCCATGGCGTATTTTTAATATGTCGAATCTTGGTGGAATCAAATGTGGCAAATCTGATGTTCCAGACTAGAAGGTTGTAAGTGATGTTCGCGTCTTCAATCAGGCGGAGCTCCATACATGGAAACAATACTCCAAAGAAGGTCTGACCTGAGCTTCATACAGTATCAAAAGTTGCTGAAGTATGTACAGTTTTCTGGTTCGGAACAGTGTTCCATGCTTTTGTGAAGCAGCCTTCGCAATTCCAGCGACATGATTGTGCCAAGACATATTGGTGTCCATTTTAACCACCAACAAACTTATTGAAGCAGATAGTGGAATTGTCTGACCTGATATTATTATATCCGGTTCGGAGACATTTATCACTTTGGAGAACACCGATATCTGGGTTTTTGTGGCGTTGAATTAAACCTGGGTACTTCCACCCCAATTCGAAATCACTTCTAGGTCCTCATTGAGATATGCAACCTCCTGCTGCCGGTGAAGATGTGTATCCGCAGCCGATGCCCTGGAATCCATATGAAATATGCTGTCGTCAGCAAAGCACTATATTGGACCCTTCGTATTTTCCGATAAGTTGATGATAATAATAATAATTATTATATTCCAGTCAGATCACAATTCAAATGATATTGAAACAGTGAAAAAAAGAGAACACAGTACATGTATATAAAATCTTGAATATTAGTAAAATTTATAAAGTAATATTCTGATAATTATCACCGATCATGTACCTGAAAGTATAAAATACATTTTTTAAATACATTCAGGCACCATAGTCACTCAATGAAAAATTCATCTACTTTATAGTAACATTTACTGATCAGAAGCTTTCTCAATTTGTTTTTGAATATTCTGTAATTCCTCTCACTCGCAATATCCTCAGACAGCTCATTGTATAGTTTAACCCCTGTAAAGGAAGGGGCATTTTCGAACAGGGTTGTACTATGTTGTGGTATCTGCAAGCGAGTACCGTATCTCATATTATAGTTGTGATTATCACCACTTGTCGGGAGGTTAGAGAGTTGTAATTTAATTGCCAATAATGATTTCATGATGTATATACATGGCACAGTAAGGATATTGTTTTCAATAAGAGTCCTATATTATAAGATTGTGGTTGTGGAATAGGCCGCGGTGGTAGTGCGCCCGACTCACGATCGGAAGACCGTGGGTTCCATTCCCGCCTCGACCAGATATTTTTCTCGAGAGAATTTATCTGGTTGAAGCTGGAATGATTCTGCAACCGTGTTAGGAATCACACGTTAAAAGGTAAGACCTTGTTAGTACTCAGCTCGCACAAGTTTCTCAACTTCTGAGAGTTGTCGTTCGTATGGGGGCGACAGCTGATTAACGAGAAAACAGATTTCAAACAGAACAGATATGGAGATATATGAGGGCATAGTAAATATTGATAAGTTGAAGCTTATTAAAGATGTTCTTCATTTGCAGAATGGCATAATACCCACTATTTACTTTTTTGCTGATATGATTGATACAATCTCTGAAGGATAGATTGGAGTCTAAGAACATACCTAAATACTTCGTAAATTCTGATGTTATCAATGTCCCATTACGTATACTTATTTCCGGGACCATACTATTGTTTTTTATAGAGTATTGCTAAGAATGGTTTTGTTGTGGTTGAGTATTAATCGATTAGAGACAAACCAGTTACTGAATATGTTATGAAGTTCATTAACTTTCTCATCAAATTCACATTCATTTTCAGTGTGATATACAATAAAATGAGAGTTGGAGGACACCAGCGTTGATGGTGCAAGTATTCGGGAGATATCCATCGACGACAACTTGCGGGGAACATTGCTTCAGGAAGCTGAAGAGCCATACCCAAAAATGGTCCGACAAGCCATAGCATTGAAGTTTGCCCAGCAAATCCTTTGGCGAAACCTCAACTCATATTTTTTGTGTTTGAACATAAAGAACATAATTCTTTCGTATTTAGAAATGTTTACAACCTTTTAAATATTATATTACAATTTGAAAATACAATATTTTATATTGGTCGTTTTTAATGCCGTCGAGTAATTTTTCTGAGATATAACGATTACCTGGGAGCTTGAGTTGAGCTCCATTCATCTGAAGTAGATAGTTACGTTTTAGAGTATCAGATATTTTTAGGCTATAATCTGGTACTTGTTCTCATCATCAGCATCATAGTTTCATCTCCAGCTTCATGAACGAAGATATGAAAAAATACGACCTCGTACTGACTATGATGGCAAAAATCAATGAATTTTTACTTCCACTTACAAATTTCAAAGTGTGAGGAATTGTTCACGTTCATCAAATTTTTTTCTCTAACTCGCAGGTATTATTAGGAAATATCTTTGGTTTTATTGCCCCAATTTCATATTTGAATATGTTCTTGTACATCCACATCAAACACTGTGCTTAAAAATTATTTCTTTCCGCACAAAAATGTTTTCTTATATTTGATTACAAATGAATTATGAAATTGAATCGTCCACAAAAAAAACAATGCATCCATGTTTCTCAAAGATGCATATTCCCCTGCCTCTGGCCTTTTTTCTATCTCTCTCTCTCTCTCGACTTCAATAGTTTCTAATGAAAAAATATATATATGGTTATATTTCTACATTCATGATTTTTCCGTTTACAGTTCTTCTCAATTATGCTTTTCCTGAGAATACGATGAAACAAGAACTCCCGATATGGGTGATTATTATTACTTTGAATGGCAGATAATTGAAAAAGAACCACAAATAATCCATGCTGTTCTGTGCTGGTGTTTAAAAACTTGATTTCATTGCGTAGTAGTTTGCTTGGCCTTCAGTAAGACACATTTCAAGTTTAACATAGTACTTACTTTGAGTCTTCTCCACAAAATCGCAGCAATACGGAATGTGGAGAATAAAACTAACTTCTGCTGAAGTTTCACTTGAGTATTGACATTTTAGTTATGTTGAATAGTAATTATATTGTATGTAAAATGTATGAGTTGGTCAATGTATGGGTGATAAACGCGACCATTTTTTTTTCAAAGAGAGTTAGAGACACAGAGGGAGATGAAATAATTTTTTTTCTTTCTAAGCAGTTTGTTTCGAGATAATTTTGGAGATATGAATTTTCCTGGTATTTTCCATAGTCTTGAAATAATACGTATTAACCATGTCATGATAGAATTTATATTAAAACAGCGAATACATCAGATGAGCTGAATTATGGTCCGGTGACCTGAGTTATTATCCATGTTTGCTGTGCTGTCCTTTCAACGATTCAGAAGATTTTTTTCTTCATATTTCAGACACGAGTACAACGTATCTTCTCAATTTTTCATCTTCCTTCGGAAAATCAACACATTCACAAATCAGTAAAATGTATTATGCCTCCAAGATGATGAGAGGTAACTTCGATTTTGCCTCACAAATTCAAGCAAAGAACGGAAAAGACTGTTCATCATCAATTTTCAACCTATATAAGATGAAATTTCCAAATCTATAATCTAATGTTTTGTCTCCATTTAGACTTATTATGCGTCAAAATGTCGTCATTTCAATGAGCTCTAAAATGTGCAATTCTCTAATGATTTGAGCGACTTTGTGTCTGTAACGATTTCTGATTTTCTGATGATAGTCTTCCTTGACTTGGAGATATTATATGAACTCAAATAGTGATGTTGCTGGTATGACTTTCTTCGCCTGATGGAATATCAAGGTAGGATGTTGTTCAAAAAAATAAAGCAAATTCAACTTGACTATATTACGAGTTGAAAATTGCTACTGCAAATGGAAATGAATACTAGAACTTTATGTCGACCAGAAAAAAAACTTGAATACAAAAAACAAAAACAAAATTGAAGAGTCCAAATAACCAATATAGATTGTTTCATAACACTCAATATATAATCATGATATCTAATAAAAAATCAACTCGAGTTTTTTTTGAGATAAATACGCACATGTAAACAGACAAACTGGCAAACAGACAAGCATGCAAGCAGATAAATAGACTAGCAGACAAATAGATAAAAAGACAAACAGATACACAGACAAGCAAGCATACAAACAGTTAAATGTAGGTATAGACATACAAGCAAACAGACATATTGAAAAACAGTTGAACAGACAAATAGACAAACAGACATGTAGACATGCAGGCAGGCAGATGAACAGACAAACAGATAAATAGACACACAGACAAACAAGCATACAAACGGATGGACAGGTATACAGATATACGAATAAATATACATATCAAAGAACTAGTTAACAGGCAAACAGACAAACAAGCAAACAGACATGCAGGCAAGCAGATGAACAGAAGAGCAGTCAATCAGACAAATAGACAAGCAGACAAACAGATACATAGATCGATAGAAACGAATAAACATGGATACAGACAAATATACAAACACACAGACATACATACAAATAAACAAACAATCATACAAACACATGAACATAGATACATATATACAAACAACAAACTGGCATATGAAAAAACTGGTAAGCAGGAAAACAGACATGCAGGCAAGCATATAAATAGAAGATCAAACAAGCAGATAAGTAGATATATAGATCTATACAAACAAATAAACATGGAGACAAACAAATGAACTTGGGTACAAACAGACATATAGAAAAATAGGCGAACATACAACAATTTGAGAAAACATTTCTCCTGGTATTACTTCAAAATACAGGCTCCACGAGAAACCTCTTTGAAACTTCTTCATCGTTAAAGTATTATTTGAAGATAATTTTGTTATTGCAAAAAAAAGTTTGAACCGCTCAGGTGTTTTTCACCATCAACTATCACATGCATACATCACCTCTAATGGGTTTCAATCAGGAAGTTTAATGATGTGTTAATTGTTATAATCGAATTCGGCTGAAAAGCATATGCCTGAACTTGAATGATGTTATGATACTTATAATTATTGAAATACACATTCATCAATTATATTGTTAATGGGTTTGTTTATTGTTGTGACTTGAATATATTTTCATTTTACGCACGCTACAAACTTAGATAAATGTATCATATTCTGCATACATTGACCTAAGTACAAGGGCAAACATTGAGTAATTCATTCAACGGTTACTTTGTGATAGAGTTCATGGACAAGTACATCTCATTAAGATACTATTTAAATTTTTCATTTTGGGAGTCTTGTTATTCATAGTATATGTCCTTTCACCAATTTGGAACCACTGGAATTTGTTTATTGAGTACTGTTGAATGTGACGTATTTTTGGAGGGTAGCCGATTAGTTAGCGTGAGTAGTTAGTTCTATGCATTCAATCAAACGCCATACTAACGTACCGTCAGATTGATGCTAGAAATCGCTCGTTTAAAGATTATACCTAGTTAATCCCTAGCTTGAATTAGTTTCGACTTCTGAAGGTTACGGTTCATGCGTTATTCTACCTAGTTTTTTCTCGAGATCACCAATCAATTTTGACATTTATACAACTGGTGACAATTCATTGAAAGCAAGGTTCATGATAGTTGGTCAATCAGGAAGTCCAAGTGAAATGGGGGATTTCCAACTGTATAATTATCAATTTATACAAATAATTACAAGTGACTCACGGTCAGAGAACAACTTCATCCTCCAAAATAACATAATAAATTGAGGAAATTATGTTAATTTGAATTCACCTAATTTATGCATTGTTTTGAAACGAAAACTCACATAACCGTTCAGTAGTGATTAGTTTATTTAGTCAGGTGATTATGGGACACGAATATTTATCTGCAGACGATTTAGGATGAATTGAATTGAACCTAAAAATGGGATGTTTTTTATTCCTGAACTAAATTGTCAACCAAAATTGGAACTTTGTATTATTAACGACTGATAAAAAAATGTGGGAATCTTCCAAAGAAAGGAAGGAAGCAATTAAATACAAAAATCTGTTGATCATGCAAAGAAGTAACTTTCAGATACAAACTGGAAGAAAAACCCTCTCCAAACATTCGAATGGAAGGAAACCTACTTCTAAAATTCCTTGACCTTCTTTCATACAGTTTTGTGCTCAACCGTGAGACAGGAAATATCGCACAACAAAATTTCAGCTTGAAAACATCTTCGCCCCTCCTAAATCGATACGATAGTATAACAGTAAAACCAAGTGATAATTTCACTTACCAATCAATGATACAATTGGCTTATTCTGATACTCTGAAGGTATAAAATATATCTAATGAATCGCAGGTATGTGTTATATCTGAGAAAGAAGTCAGGATTTGATTTGTTCATTAACATGACGTTAATAAAACTAAAGGTTGATATCAGCTGAATCGACTTTTATCGATAGGTAGAACATGAAAGACCTTTCTATGACCCAAGTGTATGTAGAGTGTATTCAAATTTGTCACCTCTCATTAGATACAATTTGGAAGGGTTGAACTTCAACAATAAAGTCTGAACTTTTGCTATGCAACACACCCAGATATATCCCATACAAATTACGCTCAAGAATCAGACACCGGTACCTCCTTTAACATTGTGTCACTTTAGTAGCACTGATTTGGGTCTGGGATCATTTCGTCGTAGAGACACCGATGATGCATAATGCAGTGGACGTTCAAATGAGGCAGTAACACCAGAAAACATGAAAAAATCCACAAAACCGTTTCGAATGATTGACAAGTGAAGTTTCATGAGCTAGCTGACATTGTAAAGAAATTGTTGGCTTTATATTGCATGAGCATTTAACTATGTGAAAGCTCTGTTCAAACCGGAGACACGCGAGCCCACTGTTGACCAAAAATAAGAACATCTTGATGGTTCTGAGCAGTATTTTGCCATATTTGAACATAACAAATCGGAATTTTTACGTCGATATGCAACAGTTGATGAAACATGGATCCATCACATCACTTCAGAATCTAAGCGATCGTCACCTGAGTGGAGAGCAACTGGTAAACCTCGCACAAAGCGCCCGAAACCACAACAAGTGTCTGGAAATTTTATGGCCTCGGTATTTTGGGATGTGCGTGGTGAAATATTCATCGGCATGAGAACTGAAATACCATCAACTGTGAGTCAAGACAACCCACCATGTCACAAGTCAATCGAAACAATGGCAAAACTACATGAATTGAACTTCGAATTGCTCCCACATCCACCGTATTCGCCAGATTTGGCTCCTAGCGACCACCGGCTGTTCACAGACCTCACAAAATGCTCACTGGTGAGAAATTCTGCTCGAATGAAATTTATTGGCTGATCCCCAAATAGACATAAAATTGAAGAGGAATATAGTCCCTGACTTTGAATAGAATACCAATGAGGGATGCTACTTTTATCAAATGATTTCACAATGTTTTCTCCACGATACTTTTTCATCAAGATATAATCCTAGGAATTCAAAAGAATTGATATAACTTATTGAATTTTTATCAATAATTACAGGTGAAATTGTTGAATCTGTACACAATCGCTTACTGCTTTATTAGCATTTTGTCGAGGATTTGAGCAGGTGAAACGTGAAACTGTGAGAATTGCAAGTAGTTGCTACAGGAAGCTGCATTTTGAAGATCTAAATTCTTGGTTTCATTCACAGGAAAAATAATATATCATATATGAAATATCCAATTCAATGAAAAACAATGATTTTTACGTTTCGAATACTTTATACCTCCGACAATAATGCTTCTCGGAAAATATACACAACATTTATGAAAAACTTCGTTTATTGAAGTCTATATTTTGATATGAAATCAATTTCAACTTGTCATCGAGTCAAATTTTATACAGTTATAAGTAATTTTCAGAAAAAACCAACAACGTACTCGCTTGGGGTAAGTTAAAACCCCTACTTTCACTGTGTTCGAGTGGCCTGATGAGAAAAACAGGAAGGTTCTGAGATTAGAACAATGCATATTTTTAGATTGCAATTTTTTTTCAAAATTTGGAAATTAACAAAAAAATATAAAAAGCTTCATAGAGAAATATGCTCAGTTTCAGGAACTGAAATAACCTTTCAGAAATTGAAAATTCATACAAAAAAGTTGAATAACAATGAGTTTTTCGCAAACGCTAAAAAAATGTTGATAATTACTTGTTAATAAGTATCTTCAAATTTCAATATTGCCACATGAATACAAGATGAAAATTATACTGGATGAGAATGACTCACAATTAATATTTTCATCAAGAAATCTTCCTTGATCAGTTTCAAGTTCAATGATTTTTGAAACCTTACCTGTCTCTGATAGTATCGAAATAATCCGCTATATAATCCACTGCGGCTTTTCCAAACTCACGAAACTGCTCAGAGTCCATCTCAAAAATTTTCTGAGTCCTTTTACTCAAAACTTTTGGTTATCACACTGGTTATCCGGTTTGTTAATTCGATTTGAAATATCAAATTGTTTATTTATGTGAAATTTGTTCACGTGATGCAACTCTGAAGACTGATACTGAAACACACGAAAATAATATAAGGTACCAGTATTTATGCACTCCTCCAAGGTCTCTTCATGATGTTAGGGGCGTATCTTTACTGAAAACTCGTCCTGGTACTTTTATTTTGCGAAGTATGCTGGCTGACGCACTAGGAATAAACTTTTAATGGGAAATCCGAAACAACTTTATATATGTATGTGCATGTGATGAAGCGATTTCTTCGAAAGTATCAAGTCAAGAACATGGTCGGGGTAGGAGGGGGAGGGGTCGGAAACTCTGAAACGGAAAAACTACTTGAATAGAGAAAAACCAGTCCAAAAATAGAAATACTGTAACGAAATCATACTAATGGTCGGTGCGGTGTTTCTCTCAATTGAACTATAATGTTTCTGAAATATTTTCGAACCTAGTCACTCCATTTGGAATGCCCCATCTTCTGATACTGGTGTGTTTGAAAACCCACCACTTTTCCACTAGAATAGATTGATTGTATTAGTGTCCGATCAAGGCTAAAATTTAACATCTATAAAAGAAACTATCCCACTTCACACATCTTTTGATCCCAAGACATTTTTCATTCCTAGATTTAGATTTAAAGTTAGGTCAGAGGGATAGTCTGAAGTGAATGGGTCCATCGTGATGTGACAGCTCAGAACCTACATTTGACAATTAATAATAACACCTAAAATGTCAAATTTAACATGACCGATATTAATGGACTTCTAGCCTTGATGAGTCTTTTAAAGAGTATGCAGGGACCGAATTTATCTCCGTTTGAAGGCTTCGTGAGTCGGCAATCATTTTTTGGTTGATAAATATTAATCCTCAATATGCTTGCTTTGGTTTTTTTGTGGCCGAAAATGATACCTGAACCCGTCCTGGCTTAGTATGTACCTTTTTTTTTCTGATTGATTTGGCCGTTACTTGATGAAGATCTATAGTAATTTCATAAACTACACCTCACGATTTGATTTCCACAAACTTTATTTGGAAAATATATCACGACATGTTTCGCTAAAACAGTAGCTTTATCAACAGTGATTTGAATATTTATACACTACAGGTAACCATAATTGAGACTACCTCCAAAAAATTACCTAAACCTCTACCTAAGGTACCTCTTCAATAATGATCACCTGAAGCATATTACCTCACTTCTACATCAATAGTAATTCTTTCTGGGTTTTTCTAAGAAAATGAATTTAATATGGTGATCTATTCAAATCTAGTTGGTCATTCATCAGAATGTTTGAATTTTTAAGTTTATTGATTTCCATTGCTTTCAAATGATTCAGTTTCAAACATTCATTTACTATACGTGAAATTTCGAACTCTTCGTTCTTAAAGATGATTTGGATATGTTGAACTTGTTTTCTTATTTACTAGGTCATAATATGATGTTTCTGGATTCGATTCCTAAATGTTCCCCAAGCTTGACCAATATATACCTTAGGACACGTTTCACAATTTAATTTATATACTCGTTCATATACGTTTTTCATACTGATACGTTAGATATTCAAAATTATAGAGCTTCAACGTATTTTGAACAAACAATGGAGAAAGTGGTTTCATTTTTGGGAAAACGAGATATCAAAATTGCATATAGAACAAGTAATACGTTGGGAAAGTTAGTTAAAAATAATATTATCCAAATAATAACATCTGAATTAGAGAAATCAGGAAAATCGGAGAGGTTTTAGATATAACATACATTCGATTGTGACAACATCGACATGTCGAAGTCATCGAAGTCATCTTTCAGGTCGACTGGCTAAATTGGTTCAGTACAAACTTGGTAGTGTCCTTGCAACGAAGGATGCTAGAATACTCCTGCTAGATGAGGTGTCACCAGTGGATCTCTTCTTAATGGACCATGAATTCAACCAAAAAATTCGACTCTAAGTCAACGCCTATTGAATGATCCCAACTATCATCTCTGTAACTCTTAATCACGTTAACAAATTCAGGAGTCTAGGTGGTTCAGTCAAGAATAGACTCATCACTTCCTCATGAGCATAGGAGACCTAGTTCACAAGACACACATTCGTAATACTCCTCTTCATGACGAAAGTACTTACTGACCACAGATCAGGTTTTCATCAGATTGAAGAAAGTTCCCCATGGTATTCATAAAGGAATATAAGTCCTGATAGCAGAGTATCTACTCTGGGTAAAATGAATCCACTCACTTTAGACCTACCCTATCTATCCAAACCGAAGTTGACAGTCAGTGGTTGGTCTGCAACTGTGTTCATCAAGTTGCTAAGCAAAACACATATGCGACTTGGAAATTAGGCAGCATGTGGCATATTTCAGGATGCTGTCCTAAAATTGCACCCTTCAACCAGGAAACGTTTTCCCCATTTTCTCATGTAACCAATAGCCATGCAGATAGAATTGTACAGCTCTGGAATCGTTGAGCGGTCATTTAGGAGGACTCTTCTCTCTATTCATAACACTCATTTCCACAACCTCAATATTCAATATTCTCCTGATGACACTTTTGACCGTTCATAAATTGCTTTCCTACTCTCATTCTCTGCCTTACATTTGCTCAGAACAAGACGAGGTCTTCCTCTTCGTCTGTTTTATACCCTTCAGCTTGAGTCTGCGTCATGAAGCACTGATTTGTTGAAGCAGTTCTTTTCTCAGATGGTATTCCTTTGTGTGTTTATAGTTTTCCAGCTCCATTCCTGGATTTAGGCCTCTACGAAAAATGTTTTTAACCCCACAGCTGGTTCAGAACCCACATAAAGTACCTATTGATGATCCGTCATCAGCTTTTCCACTGCCTCAAATTATACGCTGAAGATGATTATTCGATGGAAATTATAGTCAGTTGCCAACTGCTCCAGAGTCCATTTAGCGAACACACGTTGTTGTTGATGGTCGTTTAGCTTCAGTTCCTATGTCAGTTGATTTTGTACGACCCAAAATTGGCCAAGTTGTGGTCTGCGAAAGACCGAGTTCTTGTGATCGACGCAAAATCGACTGCCTCAGATTCTCCTGTATCCTGTCACAGACAGCGGCCATATTTGTGGCAAACCTTCGTTTGCCACAAATATCGTACAGGTATGTACGTACAGGTGATGGTCGATCGTTCACTAAACCAGTAGACTCAAATTTATCCACCACATTGCGAATAGTCAACTCGGTAGGACGATTCTGGCGATGTGCGGCGATGTGCGCGGTACGTTGCCCGAACAGGACATCCATTTTGTTAAAAAACAATTTCATCATTTGCATGTGTTGTTGAATGCTATATCCGTCCATGGTGATTTGGTAAAATAGACTGAATAAATGAAAATTGATTTAACAGACGTAGCTTCAAAAAGATTTTCGAAAGTCCCTATTGAAACACCCTACATTACAGATGTTTCCATCAAGCATATTTTGAGATGACTGTTCAACATGGATTCTTCAAATTTTGTAACCTCAAAGTTGAGGTTAATGTTAACGGTGTATTTTGATTATATGTAGCCCTCATGAACAAATGTAATGTTAACAAGAACCCAGTTAGGGTTATTTACAAAGTGAATATTTAGTAAAATGAAATATTTCACTGCTGAAATACATCATTACGCCACTGGAGATGAATTCGTAATTTTGTTATCTTCCAAATTTAATCGTAGACATACAATTGTTTCAGACCAAAGAGAATCAGCTTCTTACGGACGATAACTTTATATACTGTTTGGCATTCATCGAATAACGATCAATTTGTACTGCAATTGACAAAGATTGATAGCACAGGTACCTCTGTTATAAATACATTCAGTTCAATCTTCCTCTTGAAGATGATCACTTGGTGATCGAAACACGAGTCGTGTTATTAAAAATAATAGTTTGGTGTTGGGTTACAACTCCGATAATATTCAGTATGCAAACAATCGGGTTGAGCCGAATATTGTTATTTTTTTCACATAGCTGGTCAAGCCCTATCTTCGAAAGTCCGACACAGTCGGACACAGTGAGTGATTAGAGGGTTTGAGAATCGTGTATCCTGAGAGAGTAGAGATGTAATTATTTCACCAAGGACTGCAATAGTCAGAACAATTATCAGAACAGGGTGGTGTAGATAGAGTCTACTGAGTTCGAAGAGAAATTCTCGACGGTTTTGATTAATGAATTTAAAAAGGGGATTTACAATTTCATTTAGGCATCTTATCTGTTTGATTGACGTTAATCAGTAAATGGGATATATGGATGATGATTTGGATATCTCTCTTCATATACATATCGATACGTGTGTTTTATTTCATCGATATCGATGTTATTTGGGAAATGATAATGTGATATATTTCATACTTAGGCGTATTTCCATATTTAAACAGCGCGACTCACGGTCGATGGTAGGTTAGACGTTTCTAGAAAACGCAAAGCATGATTTTTCTGAAAATTTCACCTCTCACATTTCCTTACCTGTTCTATCGATCTAAAATATTTTCAGCATTGCGGCGTTGCCACTTCCATAAAAAAGTCCTAGCAATTAAATTTTTTAAATGGAACACCCATATTTGCAATAACGCAAATGGACAATCAAGAGCTGTTGCGCTTGATATTTCTTGATATAAAAAATCATGAAAAAAGTCGTAAACCACCATATCCTCAAATATTTGGAAGACTTTCGGAAACAAAGATCAACAGGCGACCTTCTATCGTATGTCACCCATATTTGCAATAACGCAAACAGACAATCAAGAGCTGTTGCGCTTGATATTTCTTGATATAAAAAATCATGAAGAAAGTCGTAAACTACCATATCCTCAAATATTTGGATGGCTTTCGGAAACAAAGATCAACAGGCGACCTTCTATCGTATGTCACCCATATTTGCAATAACGCAAATGGACAATCAAGAGCTGTTGCGCTGGCCAAACTTCGATGCTATGGCTTGTCGGATCATTTTTGTGTATGGCTCACCAGCTTCCTGACAGAACGTTCCCTGCAAGTGGCTGTCGATGGATATCTCACGAATACTTTCATCATCAACGCTGATGTTCCCCGGGGATACCTATTGTCTCCAACCCTTTTCTTATTGTGTATCAACGACTCGTCTGAAAAAACCAAGAATCCAATATATTTCTTTGCTGACATCACACTTGTATCGTCATTACATTTGGATTTCGGCTACGGAGGCACACATTGTCCCACATAAACACTATTACACT